TTTTTTTTTTAATTGTTCCCTCATGCTACCATTTTTGCTGGAGGCTGCACATGATTAAAATACATTTTCATTCTCAATGGGAATAAGAGGGCTGAACCTGTTCTTGATTGCAATCACACGTGAGGAGCCGATATCCTGCCCCCTGGAAACCAGCGGAGACGACTCCCCTGGACTACTGACAGGCAGCTCAGGGGAGCGCGGGGTCCAGGGGCGCGATCTTACAGCCAATGCTGCCCCCTGGTGGCGCCTCTCCCCGGCTGCGCCTCCCAAGCCGCAGAGCCCGCTGCAGGCTTGGCAGTGATCCTATGAAGCAGATAAAGCTATGACGTTCCTCAACAGCCTGAACTTGACGTTTTGCTGATTATAAAATGAGTACAAGTGCATTCCAGAAAGTCTGAGATCCAGAAAACTGTAAAGAAAATAAAGATTACCTATAAACCCAGGGATACCAACTGTTAACCATTTGGGTATATATCCTTCTAATACGTCTTGTGTACATATCAATGCTTTCATTATTAGAAAAAAAATGAGATTCTAATCTGAAGAGGTTTCAAAAAATAGCATCTAATATGCCTTGAGTTCAGAAGCAGAAGAAAATCTGGAAAATCAGAGAGACATAAAGAAGAAAAACTTTGTAATAAATTACTTACAATCTCACCATCCAGAGATAGTCTTTCTTCTCAATTTAGTTGATATTTGTGAAAATCAACTGTTATTTATTCATATCTATCTTGAAAGAATCCGAATCAGAAATTTAAAAAAAATGTCCCAAGGGAAAAATTTATTCTTATATCTTGGATTACCCCATAGCCCTGTGCCCTTTCTCTGTTTCCCTGTTTCTCTGGCAGTCGCTCTGGAAACCTCCCTCTTCCCCCGACACTTTCCATCTGTCCCTATGGCTCCCACGGGAGTAGCCAGGCCTTCTGTGACCCTGGGTGTATCCATCTGTGGGACTAGTTCTTAGAGTGGAACGGCTTTAAAGGGGGTATGTGCCTTTGTGAGTTTTGCTAGATACTGCCAAACTGTCTCGCAGAGAAACTGTAGCACCCTGCACGCCCACCAGCAGCCTCCAGAGGGCCTGTTCCCAGTAGGATCACCAGGAGTGGTGTCAAACTGCTGGCCCTGGGATCCCACATCTTAACTTTAGCCATGATGTGCCAAGTGCTGTCTACTTCCTGATACTCATCAGGCCAAGTGCTGTCTACTTACTGATACTGCCGGATTCGTACGGTGACCCCGAGGGAAGTAGGATGCTCTTCATTTTACAGATGAGGAAACCGAGGTTTAGAGAGTGTAGCCGGCCTCAGTTCACGGAGCTGAACTGAACCCAGCTCCAGCAATTCCTCCACCCGGTGGTTCTCTTTGTTTTGTTTGTTTGTTTAAAGATTTTATTGGGGAATTGGGGGAGGGGAACAGTGTTGGGGAACTGGGGAAGGGAAACAGACAAGTTGTTGTTCTTCAGTCTTCATTGGGAGAGCGCCAGTCGCCATCTGGCTTCCCGTCGGCAGCTTGTGGCCTCTAAGCTCAAGGTGCCAAGTTCAGGCTTAGTTGCGGGTGGGCATAGCCCACCATTGAACAGGCAATCTTGTTCTTACACCAGCTGGCAGCTCAACAACAGCTCAGCTTGGGTGCAGCGTCACCGGCCCACGTGGGAATCGAACCGGTGGCCCTGCTGCTCAGAGCTCACGCTCTTAAGCCAACTCTTAACCAGCTGAGCCGCTCGGCCGGCCCCACCCGGTGGTTCTTATTCTTGAATGTATCAGGATCACTCAGACGGCTTGTTATTATAAAAGCCTTCAGATGTTCTGACTCAGTAGTTGTAGAAGGGGCCTGGGAACGTGCATGTCTAGTTCCTGGTGATGCTGCAGCGGCTGGTCTGGGGACCACACTTTGAAAACCATTGATACTATTATTCTAATAGGGGACCCTATCTGGACATGAACTTTGACCTTCGTTAGGTGCTCCTTTGAACTGTATGTGTCCTAAAATGTGTGTGTGTGTGTAAGAATCAATCTCTCGTAGTCCTTTCCATAATCCAGTTGGGTTTGTGGCAAGTGGTTTCACTTCTACACTGCTCTCCCCCACCTTTTCTAATGGAGATGATGTGCAGTGGTGTATGAAAAAACACCACCTTATGCACAACCGAAGCTAGTTGTTATTATTGCTGTTGACGGGGAAGCTGTGAATTGCAGTGGGGAACACCCTGGAGCTGGACAGGCCTGGACTGACCTGGTGGCTGGGCCACTGCGTGACCTGAGACAGGCCCAGCCACGTCTCTGAGACTCAAATTCCTTCTCTTTAAATAGGGGGATATTATGAGCTCCTTAAGGATTAAACAAGCCCCTGTGTGTATTATTCTGGGTGCTCTTCCGGCTCGAGGCTCCTGGGGCAGTGGTGGCCTTGGTGACATGAAGGGCTGGCTCTGGACAGTGGCCGTGACTTGCTCACAGCCATTTCCCCTTGCGATTCCCAGGGATCGTGTTCATTTCCAGCCCTGGTCCCAGAAAATCTCATCTTCCTGCTGCTCCCACATCCTGGCAATGACCTCTTTGTCATACCAAATGGATTCTTTTCCGTAAAAGGAAATTGGAAATGTGAGGACCCTTTTGCAGGTTCCTGGAAAGCGCCCAGGTTGAACCCAATGACCACGTGGTCCCTTGGCTGCTGCCAGTTGTTCCAGGTGCTGGAGGCAGGGCAGCGGACGAAAGAGAAATAAATCCCCGCCCTCGGAAGCTTGTTGACACTGTGTCCCTGAGCATCAGTATCGAACCTGGGTGCTCTCTTGGAATCTGGTGAGGGGGGACTACGCAGCACCATGGCAAGTTACAAGTGGGTGTCAAATAGACCCAGCGAAGCTCACATCCCTAACCCCCGTCATGTGGCCGTGTAGCCAGAATTTCTCCAGCTCCGCTGGGTCTCAGCTGCGGGGTGGGGGGCCCGAGGGCTTGCACGTCTGACAAGCGTGGATGCTGCTGGTCTAGGCCCACACTGAAAACCGAAGGTTTAAGGGGTACCTTTTCTCAATCAGCACCACCAAATGTAACCTTGTTTCCCGTCAGCTTTCAGTGAAATCCTGAAGTCCAAAGGAAAGACTTTCATTCGGGTTGTGGACATTTTTGGACAGGGCTGTCGGTTTCGGTGTCAGATCTTGGCTCCAGCCATGGTTTTCCAGGGACCAGCAGCAGCCTTGAGCAGCTCCTGGAAGCCCCAGCTTTGTCATCCGGGAGCACGTTCCCTACCTGTGTCCCATTTAGGTAAAACCTTCACTGTTAGACAATTTAAAGGAATGGATTTGAGCATCTCCGTTTAACTGTTCCAATCTGATACTTTTAGCTGGGTTGTGTCATGTCTAGGGAAGCGGCCGGGGCCCTGAACTCTCACCACTAACATCGGCCTACTAACATGTTGAAGGCACGTCGAGTCTCTAGGACAAATGCATATCCGACGGGCAACCATCCATTCAATGTTTACTATGAGCCGGACCATACGCCAGATGCTGTGCAGGGATCATCTCTGTGCATGAGATTCAGTGGTCCTCTCCATGCAAACACAACTGAAAGTCACACACAAGGTCAGTCAGTAGCCCCAGTGCATCTATTTTACAGGTGATACAGCCACGATTGTGCTGGCTCTGACACCCAGACCCAAGCTCTTGAATATATTTAAATCATTTAAATGACGAATACTAGGGTAGCAAAACATGCAGAAACATGACCAAGAAGGTGAAAATGTTTTATTGTCATTTATCAAGTCTGTTAATAAGGCACTCCCCAATGTTGGATTATTATTTTCTCTGTGAACTGTGACAAATGCTAGTTCCACAGGAGAATCTGACAAACAATATAAAAGCCAATTTCCCTCACCTGCAGGTACCGCGGTTTCTCATCAGGGCCTGAAGCAGAATCACACAGCCCCCCCCCCCCCCCCCCCCCCGCCACGTGCTCCTAATTAACGTTTCTGGGATTAACTGTGTGCAGCTGGGGTGGGTGGTCGCCTCTGTGCCCATGGCGTTTCAGAAGGCAGAAGACTAGTAGCCAAAGCTAGAAATATACTTCCGGCTAAAGGCACAACACAGAAATCTCTCTCCATTCGGAGATACTGATGGTCCCTAGATACGAAGTTTGAATGGAAGGTACCAACGACTATCATAAAAACGGCATTATCCTTTACATTACAAATAAAAGAGAGAATTCATTTTCATTCTGAGTTTATTTAACATTTCATCCAGGTGAACTGAAATAGTACATTGATTCCAACGCTGGCAAGATGGAGCTAATACTGAAAACAAAACTGCCAGTTAGTAAATACGCGGTCACAATTCATTACATCAGTCAGTAGAACTATGAATAACGATGTACTTTTACAAGCTTATTGCACTTCATGTGAACTTTTCTCTAGAAAAGGTATTTCTAAGAGATCAGCAAAGATTGGTTCATTTGTTCCTTTTTATCAGCCATGATTAAATCATACAGTGAAAATTTCTACATAAAAGCATCAAGAGTTGGAAGCTTCCACAAATAATGTTTCAAAAGACACATCTCCATGTTCACTGCCCCTTTTATACGATGCTTTGGTCATAGCTTCCTGGTGTCTAAAAATTTGTTAGTTCGTCAGTCTTCCAACCCAGTCATTAATTTTTCGGCGAAGGTGAAGATTCTGAAATGGGGCTACCAAGGAACCGGGGTGAGAATTCTGAGATTCTTGGGGGTGGGGTGAGCCCCAAGTGCTCTGGTTTCCTTGTTAAAAGCACCTTTCAAACACCCCTTGGAGATCTGTCTCGAATTTCAGGCTCTTATCACTTTTTAAAGAGAAGTGTCTATGGCAACAAAACACATCCGAGGCCAGAATGCGTCATGGGGAAGTTATTTTGCTTCAGATGGTTTAAGACAGAAAAATCTAAGCGGGAAAGTTTTGGTGGCATAAAGGAAGGCTCGGAGTGGCCCAAAGCTTCAGCCCCATCAGTGCTTCCAGAGAAAAGAGAAACACACACGCCACACCATTGTGTCTTTATGAGGAAATTCAGTCTGGTCACATTGTCAGGAAAACATCTGCCACAACTTGTTTCTACAATTTTTTTTCACATACAAGTCTCTAAATTACAAGGGAACTGAGTGGTCTACACCCAACCGCCTTGCACAGGCCTTCGAACATCTACAGACTTGAAACATAATCTGTTACATTAAATGTATTAAATGTGAAACTACTACAGATGATGTAAACAGTGGTCCATGGTTTCCTAATTGTCAAACAGGGTGGAATGGAATATACAGCATTCAAGTAAAATTCATTTAGTCACTGATTCACAGACACGTTCTTTCCGTATCTTTCCGAAAGCCAAAGAGATCTATAAGGATGTCGAGAAAAGACGTGTAGGTAGTTGAAACTATGCCCTCCCTTCTAAAAAAAAAAATCCAAATGAACCAGATTCAACCCAATCGTGCAGCACCGGTATTGAATATACTTCTAAAACTTGACACTTGTGCATTTCAATTATTTGATGATTTGATGTCAAGAATGGAATGTGAAGTCAGTAAGTATAACATCTTCCTAAGAATGCGAATCAGAATAAATTTAAAAGTCAACCAAAGAAATCCACCAGCAACACGAGGGCAGAGTTGCTGAGAGCAGGGATGTCTCGTCACGCTCGTCTGTTACTGTGACTTCCGGGAGGTATATGAAGGAGTTTTTATCCACTACAGATCCCCCAAATTCATCATCTACTTTGGGTCGCCCACTGCCCAAACTGGAAGCAAAGTACCTTTAATATTTATGAGTCATTTTTTTATAGTTTAGCCTTAGAGCTTTTGTTTTCCCAAATCACTACTGAGAGCTCCTTGATTTGAAATAACAGTGGGATAAAAATTCAATATTTTAACCGGATTTCCTTTTCACTGACTGATCATCAATATTTATCGAGCATGTTCTGAACATCTACTCTAGGCCTAGCAGTGCTTTTTAAAACTCTAGGTGAGGGCTGGGATATTGTCTTTGAAAAAACAATCACTATAAAAGCACAGGAAGGCTATTTCTGTCAATTATACCATGATTCCAATGTGAGGGAGCCAGCAGGTGTCGGGCACCTGCTCTGGACGTAGCAGCCTGACTAGAAGGCTAATGTGGATCGTTAAGAGGTTTCCGTGACTGGGAGAACCCACGCAGAACAGGAGTTTCCTCACCAAGGCTACACGGGGTTTGAGGCTGGCGGGTAGAGGTCTCTTTCCCTACTTTACAATCCCTTGTTGAAGTACACGCGTCGTAATTCAGGGTGGGTCTCTCGGATCTTGGCTTGCAACTCAGCCTCCAAGCTTGTCACAGGCATGGAACTGGGAGAAGGGAGAAGGGACAGTTATTCCACGGGCAGAGGTGGGAACTAGCAGGTCCTGCTCTCTCCGAGGGGGGCTTGGCGATAAGCATCGAGCGGATGGAAGGCTCCCTCTCCATAAGGTTGAAATCTCTATTTCAGGATGGCGGGGGTCCGAGACAGAAGTGGAAGGTGGAGCTGTTTATCAGGTGGCGGGACCTGGTAAAGGTGTTCTCGAAAGGAACACCTTATCCAAAACCTACTTTGAGGGCCAAGGGCGTTAGAGACCAGACTTTTGGGGCCTGTCAGCCCAAGAAGGGCATCACCAAGGCAGAAGCCTAGTAATACTCAACAAAAAAGCAAAATAACAGAACGCTGCTTCTGGGGCCTCAATGTGAGACCAGGAAGTGGCTGATGGTCTAGATTCACACGGAGCTGATTCAAGCAGTCCAGTTCTTACATCAAAAGCAGGATTTGCAGGCAGGTTGGGGTGAAAATGCACAATAAGGCTTTTAAGGCAGAAAGCTGAGTAGGAAGAGGGGGAGCAGACATACCAGCCACCGAAGCTAAGTGCCTCTAATTGCTGTCCCTGGGGACAAAACTTAAATTTTAGTATGTCTGTATTATGGATGCATTCGTCAGTGGATTGGATGGCGGCGAACCATATATTTACATTTTTATAAAAGCAAATGTGCCGCAGAGTTAGCCTGACTTACAAAAGAAGAAAGCATTTTCAAATGTAACGGTAGCGGGTAGAAAAAAGCTGGGTAAAGAGAGTTTTGAAATAAAACAGATGTGCGTGTGATTTCTGCCTCTCGCTCTTTCTTTTGGAGACCTCGGCTTTCTTAAGGTTTCGGAGTCCCAACTTTTCTACGCATGAAATGGGGTAACAGCCCCTGTCTTCAACTGGTTTTTAGGACTAAAGCTCATGATCATCCCAAGGAATGGCAAATACATACCTTTTCTGAGGAAAAAGGGCGCAACACAGAGGCGTAGCAAATACCAAACTTAAAAAAAGAGAGAGAAAAGACAAATCAGAGCATTCTGAAATGGTCAACTTTTCCAGTTCTTTTTCTATTATACTTTTCTACCAACCCCCTTTTTTTCTTTCGAGCATTATATTGCCTCACAAAAATATGTCCTGTTTGTATCATTTTTATTATACCAGGGATGGCCAAGATAATTTGTTTTAAAAAATCAAAGAGATAACAGGAATTTACAAAGGATCCTGCAAATAGTCCCCAAAGCAGGTTTCTCTAAAGACACTTTACTTCTAGCTAATTATTGGGACTGTAAGCTCCAGATGTGCTGGGATGGTCTCATTTCCAAACCTGTCCCATTTGATCCCCTCCCCTCCCCTTTCACGTGCTGCACATTTCTCTATAAAAAGAAAATAAATGGTATCAAAGGAATGCTACTCACCAGAAGCCAACCAATCCAACCTGGATAGGCGCGCTCATCCACGGGAACCTCTGTGTTGAGAAATAAATTATTATGAATACTTTTCATACAAGCTCTTGGAGATCATTTCTTCTGCTGATTAGCTGGAAGGAGGCTGTCCTCTCCGCATTACAAGATCCAGATGGAATGTGATTAGTGAAATCTGGGGGAACACGGCAAGAAGCATGTTCTTCCCGACATCCTGTAGCCCCCTTCGATCTGTCAGTACATGCACGTGCGCAGATCAGTGGCTTCTCATGCCCCCCTTGCACGTATAATCTCGATGATGCCTGGCTGGGTACGGGAGGCGGAGAAATTGCTGTCGTTTAGGTACAGTTTACCTCTTGGCTGGGAGTCACTACAGCCTGGAGCCAAGGTTGGGAGACAGACAAAGCTGCTCTCAGATGTCTGCCCCTCCTGGTGGTTCCCCGCCGTGGGGAATGGCAGGCAGAGCCCAGCCTCTCCAAGCTCTGGTTTCAGTATGTGCCAAATGATCCCAACAGCTTCCTAAAAGCGTGCGGGTGAGGCTACGCCAGCGAAAGGCACCTAGGAAGCGCCTGGAAGGAGAAGAAACCCAGCACCCACCCCTCCCCCGTCCTGCATCTTTAGTTCTTGGTTTTTGTTGCTGTCAGTATGGTTAAAACTGGCTGGCATAAAGCGCTTTTGCCTGTTACTTTCTTTTTTAATGGAACGAATGAGTTCGTTGGGCTTTTGCAGAACAAGTGCTGTTAGATTTTTAGTTTCCAGAAAGGAGTGGTAGCAGAAGATACAATATAGAGAGCAGTGAGATGCATGGTTATAGACGTAAGGCCACAGAAGTAGCTGCAGCCAAGTCGTGAACTGGTTGTAATGAGATCAGCCAACTTAGTTAAGAGTCAACACGAGCTGTTAAAGAGCATGATCCCAAAGAGGCTTGCGTGCGAGGCGTACCCTGGTCCCCGAGAAGACTCCTCTGGTGAAAGGGTACATCCCGCAGGGTAACGTGAGGGGAGAGGCGTGGGCTAGAGAGGAAGGGAGAAACTTGGTCAAGAGGAGACAGACCCTGAGCCGACGCAGAGGGCCCACCCCTCAGAGGACAGCAAGGAAAGGGATCTGGGATCTCGGGCCGCTGGCTGGCTGACGATGAGGGGTTTTCACGGGATGGCAAATCCTCACCCTACGCTTCCCAGACATGTGACACCTGCGCTGGCACACAGATTAGGTGACGGGAAGACAAGCTAAGTACTGAATGAGATCTTGTGAAGGATGAACTTGGCCCCGTGCGAGCAGCTACGTCATTTACTGTGCACTCTGTCTGCAGGACACTGGGCTAACCTGTAATCTCAGGGAACAGCTGCCTGTCATCTCAGAGAAGGACTCGTGCAAATTCAAGGCGATGGCTTGCTTGGAAAGGTTCTTGGTAACGGCAAGGATCCCGGAGAATTCTGACTTAGACCATGAACGCCAACCTGGATGTCACCCCTTCTCCCACCTCCTCCTGCAGCCCCCCATCCTGCCTAATTCACTCCTACTTCTTAAACAGAACTTCAGAGGGCTCTCAATGGCACAGCTTCCGGAGCGGGGACGGGGTCTGTGGATTTCCCCTGGGGACGCCCAAGGGACTAAGGGGTGGTTCAATCACTACAGAGCCAGTATGACACTATCGCACATTTCATAGCAAGGTGTAAGACTGCTAGAGGAAGAGGCTCAGGGAACATAATTCTTCCACATGCCCAGTGCTTCCAAGACAGAACATGAGTGGGGGTGCTGAAGTGAGGGTCCCCTTACCCTCACGGGGTCAGTGCCTCAATGGGTAATAGCCAGCATAAGTTGGCCCTCACCATCACTGTTGCTTCACAGCATGCTTTCTTGGCTTATTTCCCTAAGAATGTAGTTATATTAAAAGTGTATGAAGTGTTCACTTGGTGTTGGCCTTGGCCTTCCATCTGGGGCCCACAGGGAGTTTACAGGTCAGTGAACATTCCTGCTGGACCTTTAGAATTCTCCTAATCGCTGACATCGTTCAGGGAGTGTTTGGTCTGGGACCTGTGTCCTCCTTCAAAGCTGTGGAGTGTTCCCCGCAATGTTACAGCTCTATTTCTAAGACCCAGAATAATTCACCCCAACACACCTGCTCCTCTAGTGCAGAGCCTGACCCATTCCTGGCAGATTTAATGGGGTCGCTTTCCACACAGCATGAGCCAAACGAGTCACCCTGTCCCACCGTCTCCTACTTGTAAGAATTGGAAAATAGGGTGAAGAAGAACACTACGGCATAAAATCACGAAGCTACACAAAGACCGTATGAGTCACACTGAGATTTCCTGGTTAGTTTCAGACCCTGATGGGGGCAGCTGATAGATTAATCAATTATTAGATACGATCTCCAAAGAAAACGAAACCAGGGCTCTCAACACAGTGCTCTATGAAGCCCCAGCTCCAAGTTATCTTTTTCATGTCTGACGATAGTAGGGACAGTGACGCATAAACACATCATTCCAAAGGCATTCCATCTCGTGTCACTGCTCCCTAGCTCGGCATCCACTCGACCACTAAGGTTAAGTGTATAATTGAGTTATAACCTCTCGAGAGACGTGGGCAGCAGTCTTCATTTACAAGAGCTTTTTCAAGTGTCTGCGATGAGACATAAAATGTTCCTGGCAATGTCTTTCTATTGACAGAAGAGCCCACGTGCCCCTGGCCTTCAGTTTCTTTACTGTTTATGCAGGAAATATTCAGGCTCCAAGTCTGAAAAGGAGCGGAAAGCATGGAAACAATGACAAATGGAACTGGGGCTTACCTTTAGAAAGGCTTTCTTTTCCAACGTGTTCATGATAAATGGAGGGATGGCTGGAAGTAAAGACAGATCCACTTACATCTTTATTTCATGTCTATTTTTAGCTTCATTTTTCCCCCCCAACAATTTGACAAAAGGCTTATATCACTTTTAGGCTATTTTCTCACTGGCAGAGTGAAACTATATGCAGTAATTCTTTGAAATATTTTATATTGAAGAAAATCCACTGTTCCATTCTCTAGATTTTTGAAAAATACTGTAATGTTCTTTGCCAGCCAGAAAATTCTATATTCTTGAAGAGAACTTTACATTTAACTTTAAATATGCAATTGTATTGACATCAGGAAACTTTGCCTCCTGTAGAATAAGGTGAATCCAACCTGCCCCGGGGCCCATCCCGTGTACGGAATCAAGGTTCGTGCCTTGAGTCAGGAGGACATCCCTTGCTTGCTGGGCAATCCTGGAAAAGTCACTTCACTTCACTGAGCCTCAGGTTTCTGTTTTTCTCATCTGTGAAACGGGGAGAGTTGCACCAACGGGCTGCGATGATTAGATGCAACAATGCCGGTAAAACCTCGGGTAGCATTAGTTCATTTACTCACAATTTTTATCAGACTACACTGTCACGTCAACTACTTCAGTGTGTCAGTTACCTTCATAGATTCCCTGGGATAGGAAAATGGTGTTTAAAATCATGTTTAAAATATTTAGAATATTAGAAAAAATCTGGAAACAGACTTGTCGGGCTGGCTGAACTCCAGAGGGGGGCTTGTATTTCAAAAGGGGAAAAAACAAACCCAGGGTAGATAGCGGCAAATCTGGAAACCTGGGCTCAGCACATGTGTGTGTGTGTGGGGGGTCCCCAGCCTCCTGCTGGCTCGTGACAGGGTGCTGGCCCCAGACTCAGGGGGCTCGGCCTACATATCACGGCCGTTTCCAGCATACCCCGCCCCTGGCGCCGTCTCATAAGGGCACCGAGGGGCTCCTTTGTTACATCGGTTAACGGAGGTTAATTCAGACCATCCCAATTAGCTGGGATGCGAACACACAGGCACCCCCTGTTTCACTGCTTTTCGCAGATAGTGCGTTCTTTACAAACTGAAGGTAAGACCCTCCACCAGCAAAGGGATTACGACTCGCTACAGGCTCAGGTGATGATTTGCGTTTTTTTAGCAATAATGTATTTTTAATTAAGGTGTATGCAATTTTTTTTTTTTTTAGACATAATGCTATTGCACGCTAATAGACTCTAGGGTAAACATAACTGTAATGTGTACCGGGAACCCCCCAAATTCATGTGTCTCGCTTTATTGCCACATTCGCTTTACTGCGGCAGTCTGGAACCGAACCCGCAGTTCTCCGAGGTCTGCCCGTGATGCTCCCCAACGCTTTCCTCGTGTACTTTTCTCCCGCTCCGGTTGCCCGCTCTACTCATCTGCTGATGCGCAGTCACAGCGACAAGCAGAATTTAAAGTCAGCACAAGACACTGGTGGGGAAGCTAACAGCAGTTGGTGACGCAGGCTTCCTCTGGGAGCTGAGCTAACAGCCAGGTGCTGTTTGCATTGTTTCGATGCTGAAATGTAGCAGTCACTTCTATTTCGTTTCTGCAAAGAGCACTATATAGCTATCACAGGCCCTCTAGTTTCTAAGTAAGACCCGGTCTGAGGGTAGCTCTAAGAAGCCTTAGGAGTGGACCAGAGATTCTCAAAGGGAAAAATACGTGGCTTTTCTGATTTTGGTCATGTTGACTCCAAGCCCTGTGGACAAGACAGAGTAGTGGCTCGGCACTCATCCTCACAGCTGCTGTAAGAGCCCAGCTTGGTCTGAGTTCCCAGGGTCTCGGGCTGATTCAAATAAATCTTCAGTTGCAATTATTCCTACTCAAGAACTCTTAGAAATCTCCTTTCATGATTTCCCTAGATCAAATTCTTTCACTCCGATTCTCCTTACCTCTGCTGTCCCTGCCTGAGTCCCGCCCACCATCATCTCTTGCCTGGGGTACTGGGACAGCTTCCTGACCAGTCTCCAACCATCATTCCTGTCCCCTCTTCAGTCGTGCATGAATGAATGATGCCAGCCCCTGCTCACACCCTCCACGATTTCGACCCTCAGGCTATAAGCCTGGGCTCCAAATGCCTGCGTTCTGTCCTCTGGGGCCTCGCTCACTCCATTCCACTGGTCCCACCTGCCTCTCCACACCAGCTGCACTTGCCTCTCAGGTGCTTCCAGCATACCAGGCAAGCTCCTGCGGCTCCCTGGTGCCCGCTTGGCTGTCTCCCTTCCCTCTGCCCAGTCCTCTTCCTGCGCTGTCCAGTCTATGTCCACCCCAAGACCTCCGACACCCCCTTTCCCTTAGTCCTTAGCAGCATCTCACATTTTATATATATTTAGTTATTTAGTTTATTCTCTGCCTCCCTCCTCATATAGGAAATTCCACCAGGGGAAGTGGTTTTTTTTTTTGGTTCACTGATACATAAACGCTTGTTTGATCTGTTATTTGTCAAATAAATGAATGGATAACGGAGTGCTACTAACCCATGCCGGGGGCTGCCATGAGGATCCTGGAGACGACCACCTGCGTGATGGCTTGTCTTGCGGCCTGTGCCGACTCGCCCAAGCGGTTCCCATTCTCGTCTGTGACCGGAATGCCAACTTTGAGTTCCCTAGAGAGCAAAACACGTGCAAAGAAGTTCACAGATGCCTTCACGAAACGGCTGGAAAGAGATGATCTGTCGGTCTAGTCCCCACTTAAGCCAGGCACCCACTCAAGTGTCATTTTTGGCACTACTTTTAAATATCACAAACACGTTTAATCCTTGGGTGATAAGCACAAAAGCAAAATAACACAGCAAACTTTGAAAAAAAAAAAGGAGGGGTGTAGCGTTTTTAATAAAAATATGACTCAAAGGGTGACTGTACTAACTTAAGAGATAAGGGTAATTTTTGTGCCTATGTGCAAATTTGAGCAGCCTTCCCAATGAGAGTCAGGTATGACACACGGCATCACTGATAAGCTGACACTGACATGGGAGTCGCCAGCACGTGGCCGTACCGGAGACTTGGTGACCACGGTTACTAATGTACCATTATAACTCCTAGCGTTCCCCTGCGTTTCGTTATCCATTCCAAAATGCATTCTCTCGTTCTTTCTTCTCCCTTAATTTTTGCTAGTTTTCTAAAAAATACTTCCAAAGACATAGATTAACATTATTTTAAACTGAAAAAGAAAATTCTGGGGGAACAGTACCTGTTTCAGAGACTGCACCGGGTGTGCACAGACCTTTGCCTAGCACAGCTGAATCTAAGTTTGAGATCTGTTCTCTTAAACTTTTCGTTAGAAGTAGAAAGAGTGTTCCGACCCCCATGTTCTCATCAGCAATTAGCAACTCAGTGGCTAAGCTGGTGTCGTCCGTGGACACGTCCTCACCGCACCCTAGATTACTCTAATTAGTCTAAGCAGACCCCAGATTTCATCCAGTTTCATCTGTAAATGTCAGAGCTGATTCTTCCAAGAGGCTAATTGCTGCTGTCAAGCCCAAGTCCTGTCTGAACGCGCACCTGATCTTACCTTTGCCTCATTAACGGGATGTTAATGCAGTTAGCAGCAGCTACGGCAGCAAAGGGGACAAAGCGGCCAATGAGTGGTGAGACGTGCTGCAGAAGAGAGAGTGCAAAAGCATCATCTACTTTTCCCATACTCCTGAGCGCGAACACTTATTTCTTCTTGGAAACTGCCAAGTCCCATTTGTATAGAAACTCAGGCTGAGGGTACTTTCAAAACCTGTTTCCCGGTGGTGTTTTATACCTCCAGTCTGGGCATACTGGGACAGTGAGGCTCTGACAGCTGAGTGTGGTCAATGGACAGGGTTCAGATGCTGGCTTCCCCCCTCTTCGGAGGTGTGGCCTGAGGCCCCACCCACACGCAGCCTCTGCTGGGCTGTTTTGGTGGGTGAGCTTTTAGCGTTTAATTTAGGCCTTAAAACACAGTATGACTTGCTCATATGTGGGATATAAAACCGAAAGCACAAGGAACAAACAAGACAAACACAAATTCACAGACACAGACAACAGTATGGTGGTTACCAGAAGGAAAGGGGGGAATGGTAGAAATGGATAAAGTGGAGGGATTTGGGGGCTTGGGGGGGTGGTGTCACATGTTTGATGACAGAAGATTTGACTCTGGGTGGTGAACACAGTGCCATATCCAGATGATGTATTATAGAATTGTACACTTGAAACATAATTTTATTAATCCATGTCACTCCACTACATTTAATAAAATTAAAAATAGAAAAAACCCACCGTGCCAGGCACAGACCAGGGGCAGATGTTATGGGTGATAGCCCTGCCCAAGCGTATCGGAAGATATAATTAACATACACAGTCAACAACCACAGTAAGGAAGTCTTAGGACCTGAGCTATTCTGAGAAATAGCAGAGCGGCTCAGAGCTAGGCAGGTGAGAACAAATTAAGAAGCTCTGCTACGGAAATAAAAACCGGTACCTTCGTTAGCGCATTGAGTCCCAGAGCTGTCACCACAGCACCAGTTGTTGCTGACACATAAGCTGTTCCCAGTTCACTGAGAAGAACAAGAACAGTGCATGTAAGAACGTTGTATGTCGGGATGCTCCGTTCCTTTTTTTTTTTTTTAAAGAAATGAGGGGGAAATGAGAAAGGCTGTGATTAGGAAGGGGGAGTCCACAGGACATTCTCGACAAGTAGCGAAATCTAGACAGAAGGCAAGTAGACCCGTGAACAGTGGGATTCTTCACATCTCACCTAACCAGCACCCCAAACAAGCCAACACATAGAATAGGTCCGAGTGGGGGTGGAGTGGGGGGGCTGAGTGGGCAGGAAGCGCCAAGTGTGGGAAAATGCACATGGGCCTCAAGGTGTGGGGCACATTGGCTTAAATTAAAAAAAAACAAAAAACACTTTTCAAAATATTAACATACATACTGAAAGTAAAAATGCAATGCTGCCATTTGTAAAATGATGTCTTACTGTATAAAAGTTCTGAAAGTCTCATCTTCGAAATACAACTAGCAGTTCTCTCTTATTAAAAAATAAATTTTAGAGCTGGCCGAGTGGCGCGATGGTTAAGAACTCGCTTGGGATGCCAGAGGGCCCCGGTTCGGATCCCACATATGAGGGCCAGTGACACTGCCCTCTACAGCTAAGATGCTGAACAACAGCTCAACCTGGAGCTGGGCTGCCGTGGGTCGCCGGCGACGGCGTGGGCTGCAGCCCCTGTGGCAGTGGGTTGCCATGGGCTACCGTGTGTAGCCAGCAGCCAGCGTGAGCGGCCAGCAGCCGCAGTGAGCGGCCAGCAGCCGCAGTGAGCGGCCGTCCAGAAGCCGGCGACTGATCTGCCTCGCCTGGGAAGAGCGCAATGATGGTGCCAACTTGGGCCAGTGAAGCAACGTCCTCCACAACTAGACTGAAGAACAAAACGACAGCAACTTGTCTGTTCCCCTTTCCCCAATTCCCCAGCACTGTTCCCATCCCCCCAATTCCCCAATAAAAATCTTTAAAAAAAAAAAAAATTTTAATTCCAGGACTGAATGAAAGGAAGGTGCTACATAGTGCTAGCTGCAGACTTCATACCTTTGTCCCATATGATGACAGAAGAATATGGACTGTCAACGGCAATTTAAAGCAATAAAACAAAAAAAGAAAACACTGAAGCGTTATCCAAGTTTTGCTCAAAGTTTTGGTTAGCAAATTGCTTGGGCCTATCTAAAAACTTTTTTTTCAAAAAAACTTAAAACCCATTCAGTTGCTTTTTGGCTCCAAAGATGACCTATTTTAAAGACAAATCAGTTATAAAAGTCCCCTCGATCCCTGCAGAGTTCACACTGTTGACGCCACTACTTTCGACATTGGTATCTGTTCGCACGCACAGGGCAGATGGGGGTACAGCTTGTCACTACGACAGGCCAGCCCGGAGCTGCTGCTGTGTGTTCCGCAGGGAGCTGAGCCCGAGGGGGTGGAAGTCCTAGCTTCCTACCGGCGCGAGTGGTGTCTGAAAAGGCAGGCTGGACAAAACAGTTGTCTTGATAGAAACGAAAGGCCCACTCCTGGGAAATATGCTCCCTAATAGTCTCAGCGATATAAACAATTTGCACAAAAACGTTTTTTTTTTCACTAGGAGAGCATCACCACTGAGTTGAATGAACCCTGGAGAAGTGCCGCGGGCAGCTACGTCCTTGTCTTACTTGACGGTGAGGGGAGCGTCGCCACTTCTGTTGGTGTAATTGACCACGGCGTTGAAAGACTGGTTAACCCACTGCCAGAAAAGCACCGCCGGCGTGGTCCTGAAACAGAGCGGCCGTCACACACCCGCCATCGCCTGTGGCCCAGCTGCTGTGCGGGGCAGACAGTGTGCGGGGCGGGGAGGAGAAGGGCTGGAGATGGGGACGCTGGGTCAGAGGCTTAGGACCCGGGTGGCTGGGCAGGGTTTTGTCTCCCCGTTTCTCAGTGTCTTCCCTCGTTAGATGTGGGTGACACCAAGCTCAGAGGGTGACGGTCAGAATGGAGAGCGTTACTTAAGTGTTATCTTAAATTGGTGAGTAGACACTCAATGAATGTCGGGTCCCATCTCTTAGGGGAAAATGAAGCCATTTGTCGGCTGAGTAGTTCTGGTTCCTCCTAACTGCACGTGTCACCTCAACGTCTCTGCCACCTCCACCTCCACCCACCTGGACTTACACCTGTATTATAAGAACGGATTACAAAGAGGATCTGCTTACTCTTATTTCTGTTCTTTCTCCATCTCATTTTCTTTTGAGCCTAAGATTGAGGGGAAAGTTCAACCTCCTTTTGAACAACAAAGAGAATACTCTTCCGCGGAGGGAAAAGGTACCATAGCCCCGTGGACTGGCATCTATACAGAATGGAAACTCAACATGGAGTCACCTTTATTTCAGTAACGTTATTTACACACAAAAGTCTACGCTAAGCTTCGGTAATACAAAACCAACTGTTGTTACAGCTCCATAACTTACCTGTAAAATGTCATCATACAACCTGTGATGGTCATGTTCATGGGAACCTGAGCGGACATTCTTCCTATCAGAATCATCTTTTCACCAGTGTCGGGATGAAAGGCTGAGTCGTAGATGTACTTCGCTCTCCATAATTCATTCTCTGTAAGACCAGGAGGAACAACTCCTTGTCTAGGAAAACAACGACAAACAACACAACGATTGCTCATTTCCAATATCTCAGCAGCGCTCTAGAGACAGGTAGCTCGAAGGCTTTCAAGTTCACACTTACCTACAACAGCTGTGCCCAGATGGCGTGACAAGTCTGGCTCTTACATAGAGTCAGTGAAAGTTCAATAATGCAAAAGACAGGGAACACTTAAAATGAACCCTTCAAAGCCACAGATCTCAAATTACCTATAATGAGGAACAACGAAAACCTACCTTGTTTAATAGGGAAGAAGTCAACTTTGAAACGGGCTTTGCTTTCAATGACATATTTAAAAATGTATTTTGAACTTTGCAAACTCTAAAATATTTTTAACCAATTAAGCAATAGCTGTGGCAATCAAGAATATCAATTCATTTTTATATTGATAGTTTAAAAACCCAGGTTAGGAAGGCTCATTCTTTTTTCTCCTTATCAAAGAAACACATATTCATTTCCAGAAATGTAGAAAATACAGAAATTCACTGCAGCAATTTGAATCAGACAAGCCTTCACATTATTCCCAGCGGACTAATTATTTTCTGAGGAACAGATGTACAATTTTGCGTTCCTTTGGGCACCTATCAGGATGTGGCTTTTCTGCTTTGATGTGATACATTGATGTCCTAAAATCACATCACCTTTTTATTCTTAGAACCAATCCTCCTCATTCATGTTTTACCGTACGGTTGGATTTGATGTACTAGCATTTTATTTTGGATCTCGGGCATTGTTAATTTGTGAAATGGACCATTGCTTTCTTCCCAGTGTACTTTTGTCAGAGTATCAGGTTGCAGATGAATTAGGATGCATCGCCTTTTCTCCGCCACTCCCGTAACATTAAAAAAAAATTAACTATGCTTTATTAATGTATAATTTAAATACAATGAAAGTCGCTCATTATAACTGTACAATTTGATGAGTTTTGAAAAACGGATGCAGTGGTGTCACCATCTCCAGAGTCACGTTATATAGAATATTGTCATCTCCCCAGTGGCTCCCTCGGGCCCCTCCGCAGTCATTCCACTTCCGGGCACCCCATGCTCTGCTTTCTAGCACAAGCGTCCCCTCTGAGCATTTCACGCACCTGCAGCCCTACGGTGAGCAGACTGTCGCGTCTGGCTTCCTTCGCATCACTTAACGCTCTGAGAAGCGTCTCTGCTGTTTTATCGGTAGAGGGTTAATTACGGTTTAGCGTTCCATTCGGGAATGAACCAGGGTTCCTTATCAGCTCTCTTTTTAGCTGTCCTAATAGGCATGAAGTGCTGTCTCCCGTGGCTTTCATTTGCATTTCCTTAGCAACTAATGATGCTGAGCACCTCTCCATTCCCCTAGAAACTTGCTATTCCCCTAGTTTCTTTGGTGAACTGTCGTCAATCTACTTAAGTCTTTTGACCATTTGAAAAAGTTGGGTTGGAATTGAAAGAGTGTCCATCTTCTGGACACAAGTCCTCTAGGAGAAACACAGAGTTTTGAAAGCCTTTTCTTCCAGTCTGTGAATTGCAGTTGTGTTTTCTGAACTGTGGTGGAGGGACTTTATTATTCATTTTTAGGTCCTACCTAATATTTGTACACAATAGCTTTCCAGCTATTGTGAATAATGGTGCTATGATCACGGGTATACAAATATTAGTTGAAGACCATGTTTTCAATTCTGTTGGGTACATACACAGAAGCAGAATTGCTGAATCACATGGTAGTTCTATTTTTAATTGTCCGAGGAACCTCCACATCGTATGGGTTTCTTATTTTTGAACTCAATTTTGCTACATCTCCCGATCACTCAGGGATTTATGAGAAACTCACTTTTGATGCCATTCCATATTTTCCTGTTGCCTTTGTAAACAGACAATCCGGGATAAATTTCCGGGCCACAGCGCTGTCTCATGAAACCTGGGTGCCCACTGCTTCACTGTCTTCCGGCATTCATTGCACAGATGAACAGTGAGAACTCTCTGACTTTTTCTTCTTTTTTAATAACCTTTCTCCTTGCTCTTGGATGCTGATGGAATTTTTTTAAGTTTCTTTGTAGAAAAAAGCAAAAAAAAAATGCCAAGTGCGAGTCTCCTTAATTTGTAGGTATGTTTTACCTCAGGGAAATTCCTTTCTTTTATTTACTTATTATAACTTCTTTTGCATTTTTCTGGTTTTGCCTTTAGAAGCATCCATTTGCTCTCCATTCTCTATTCCCCTTAAATAGTATAATTTTTTTCCCATTTTCATCTGTTATCAGGAGATGACAAACTGCAGCCCATGGCCTGTTTCTGAATGGCCTGTGAGCTCAGAATGGTTTTTACATTTTTAAAGGGTCGTAAAAATAATAATAATAATAATGATGATAATAATAATAATAAAAGCAACCAAAAAAAACTCTATGCAATAGAGACTGCATGGGCTGCAAAGCCTCATCTAGTCACCATCTGGCCCTTTGCAGGAAACGGTTGCCCGCCTCTGACCCCATCCTTGGAGAGCGTCTCAGGCTTGCGCTCCGCATCCGTTTCTCCCCTTTTACCACGTGGTTGCTGCCGCTGGTTTCACGCCTACCACTGAGTCCAGTCAGGGTTTCACTTACTCTTATAGGTTTTGTCTTTGCAGCCTTCCCCGTGTCATCTTTTCAGCTCCTCTAGCTGTCTTTTCTTCTCAGCCTCTCCTCGTTTTGTGGCTTTTGTCCCCCTTTCCCAGAACCCTGACTTTCGTGCATTTCTGCTGCCACCTCTGCCTCGTCCTCCCGTTCTCTCTCAGGCTCCGTCACGCTGTTTTCCGGGTACTCCCTCTCCACTTGCTGGAATGGGGTCAGAGGTGGCCAGGCCCGGTGTTCGACAACAAAGATTATAGACTGCCCTTGGTTTCCTTCCTAACTACCTACGTGACAGCAAATAACTCTTTTACATGTGTTACGTGTTTACGTTTTTTTAAAGGATTATTAAAAAAAAAACACCCAAAACCCCAAATCCCCAAAATGAAGAATATGCTGCAGAAACCCTTTGTGACCCACGAAGCCTAAATAGTTTTCACATGGTCTTTTATGGAGAAAGCTGCGACCACTGCCGGGAGTATGTCTGCTCTCTCCCCTCATGCCTGGCACTCGCGTCTGATGGAGAGCACCCCCCACCTGCAAACCCTGCCCAGCCTCCTCCCTGCCTGAGCTCCTACCACTGGCGTTTATTCACTGGGGCTTTATCTCACAAGCAACCAGCCTACCCTAATGCTTGGCAACTTGCCTTCCGGATGATGCTGTCTCCATCTGGAGAGAGACCGGTGCCGGGGAGGCTGTGGATGCAGGCGGTGAGTGTGCTGGACAGAAGGAGGCAGGGCGCTGTGCAAAGGGGAACTCATAGGCTGGTACCTCTGAGCTGGAGGAAGGGTGGTCTTATTTTCAGGTTATTATGAACCCTGGACACCTGTGTTAAGGGTCAGCAATGGTGGATAAAACACGTCTTTCTATTTCTAATTTTTTTTGGTAAAAAGGATTCCATTGCAAAAAACAGTTGTAAAATCACTAAGTGAAGGTTTAAAGACAGCAGGCTAACAGGATGTCCGATGGCTAAGCCCAAAAGCATCGGCACTCACGTTACCTGTAGTCGTGCACGATTTTCCTTGCATTCTCTAGTTGTTCGTTGGTTAACAGGATATTCCTGGGATCAGTCACAGTGAAGAAATGATTGGCTCGCCCGACGAAAGTGCTTTGATCCCATCGAGGCTCTCGGATGTTGATGTTTGGAGGGAGTTCTCCAGACATTGTCTTGGACTAGGGAGAATCAAAGAGACAAGCCCAGCGAAGACTTACAATGTGGCCACCCATTTAGAAACTTTATTGTCTCACTAATAATCTCCACGTAAAGATGTATGCATATTCCTATTCCCCAAAATAATTTTGCTATAAGTGGCAGAAAGAGAGTCTAAATCCAAAGCTAACTTGGTCCATAAATCTCAAATGATCTTAACCAAATTTCAGTAATTTCCCACATAGTTCTCTTTTTAAGTCCATGGTATTTCATCATTCCTTACCCTAGGAAACTTAGGAATACCCTAGAGAACATACAAAAAGCTAAAAACAGCATGAACAGTCATAGGGTCCCACGTTTGAAGCTCTTGTTCTGGGTGAAACGATCAAGATCAAACAACCACTGCGTTCCGGTGGAGCTCACTGCGTTACTCCCACCAGAAGTGACTAACTCACACAGGAAGTGAAGTCCTGGAGTGGAGAGCGGGGGAGGGAGGGGTGCAGCGCCCTTGGGGTCTGGCTCCCCCGGAAAGAGCACAGCCATCCCGCGCTTGGTCCCAGAACTTGCCCCGACCTGCCGACCACGCCCCCAGCAAAGGTTGAAATTGGTCAAAGATCAGGTCCTTTTTCGACAGGTGTTCTTAAGAACCTCTCGGTTCTGACAGGAGTTCATGACAATTACTGGTGACAGTTGTTAAGTAACAAGTCAGCTGAGTACATGTGAAGGTCTAATTGGCTTTATTAAACCATTCATGTCGCATCCCATCTTAACAAGGACAGAGCAGCTCCTAGGAGCTGTACAAAGCGAAGACATGTGTAGGCAGAAGGGGGCAGGGATAAGGAAGGAACGGAGGGACTCATTTTCCCTGGGGGATGGAAAGGAGGCTGTGTGGCAGATGACCTCCTAGGTGCCGACCAGAAAACTCCAGCCTGACCAGTTAGGGTTACATTCCCGGGGAAGGCCAAAGCGGCAATTAGGTCAGGTATCAAGTGTTGGTCCGGTGTTGTGGGCTTAGCCCAAGTGGCTCCACTTTGGACCTGTTGCTTCTTTGCAACAGTTTTACAACAGGTGCCTCTCAACTAGGAATCTCCGCAGGGGAAGTCGTTCTGTGGCCCAGTTCCATGATGATGTCCCCAGTTCCCCATCCTGGGGACAGCATGGATGGTCATGAAGCCAAGTGGGTCAAAGGAAGTTTCAGAGAACAAGATATCTATGTTCTGAGGCAGATGTGGCAAGGTTAGGGGACAATGCCATACCTCAAAGGGATAGACTGAACAGGACACCAAAGAATGTGTTCAGGGATGTACAAGCGAGCTCATTAGCTTTTTAACTCCAGAAGCAAGTGAAACGGACCAGCGAGGGAGTCAGAGACATGAGTGGGGAGCATGTTCTCTCAGCCGTGTTTACCAGAGGCTCTGATAGCTACGGAGGACCCCTGAGAGGGCTGCAGAAATTCAGAGAGGCTGCGAAAGAGAGCCAGGAACACACAGCCACAGATGGACCAGGTGAAGAGCTTCCCCAGAGGAGGTTACGGCTCGGTTACCAGCAAGATTAATAACTACAGGTGGTCAACAGCAAAACGTTATGGTTTACACAGCATATGGGAAGATTTCTGACTTTCAACAAGTTCAGTTTTCATGATCTGAAAAAATGATGGAATGGGGGGGGGGGGGTTTGCAGAGGAGTGAAAGAGGCTGTGAGATTCCAGATCAGAGACATTAGAAGGAAATAGCTGTGAAAGGAGGTCTCTTTGATATTTAAATAAGGCAGACCTCTGCGTAGATCCTGAGGGCTTTTGGTTTTTGTTTAAACAAATTGAAGGTTTGTGGCAACCCCATGTGGAGCAAGTCTCAGGGCACCATTTTTCCAACAGCATTTGCTCACTTTGTGTCTCAGTTTGGTAATTCTCGCAATATTTCAAACTTTCTCATTTTTGTGGTATTTGTTATGGTGAGCTCTGATCCGTGATCTTTGGTATTATCATGGTTTTGGGGCACCGCGAACCACTTTATGGCGAACTTAGTAGATGAACATTGTGTGTGCTGACAGCGCCACAGACTGGCCGGCCCCCATCCCTTCCTCTCCTCGGGCCTCCCTATCCCCTGAGACACAATACTGAGATTAGGTCAACTGATAATTTACAATGTCCTCTAAGTGTTCAAGTGAAAAGCTGGGAATGATTAACCCTAACCGACTGGTTAAGAGTAGTCAGCGGCGCGGGGGCTTTTCCCGGTCACTATTGAAATTAGATCACAATTTTCACGAGCCACTCTGGGAGGGCCTTAGTGCCTTTCTTTTAGGTTAGATGTCACACGGTCAGTGTGCAGCCGTTCCAGGGCGAGGGCCACCCCCTGACTTCTCCGCCGGGACCACCTCCCACCACACAGAAGCCTTGCTGGCTGGTTGGCAGTCTGCTCTAACCAGGCAATGGTGGTCCGTTTAGTTTCCGAATAAGTTTACTGAACCAACTGGTTAGCTGAACTGCAATTCCTGCTCCAAGCTGCACCTCCCTAACGGTTCTGTAATTTGGAGCCTTGGATGGAGGTGACGAGGGAAGGCGTGTGCAGTGGAGACAACAGATCTGAGTTCGAATCCCAGCTCCACCAGAACTCTGTGCCCTCATATACATTATCCCACTGTTCCAAGTTCCTGTAGCTTTATCAGCAAAGTTACGAGACTGCCTGATAATAGCCAATAACGTCCAATAACCACTCTTCTGGGAGCTCGCCTCATATGAGCCCATCCAGCCCTCCTAACAGTCCCTTTACAAGGGCGGTTAGCTAACTGGCTCGAGGAAGCGGAGCCAGAATGTGAACCTAAGTTGTCAGGCTCCAGAGGTCAACTCCCTGGAGAGATGGCTGTGACCAGAAAAGCATCTCTCTGGAAATCCTGATTCAACAGAGCCGAGGGGGGGGGCGGAGGAATCTGATTTTTAAGAATATACCGGGATATGCCATGATTAGTTAAGTTTGGGAAACGCTATGTTTGGAAGAATATAAAAATTATAAATAAATAATAACCAAATGCCCAACCAGTTAAGGGGAGAATCTTACCCTCTTACGGGGGCAATGTACATATTTAGGTGAGTCCATGGCGATTCACGCTGGCCACCGAGCCTGCACTTTCTGGCTGGTTCCCGTTGAGGAAAGCGCCCCGCCCTTGGCCCCGTGCCTCGTGCCCCGAGCCCCGACTGCCTGCTCTGATAACCCATGGTATCAGAGCTGGGCTTCAACTACAGCGATCTGGACTCGAGTCCTAATTCCCTTCCAGGAGTGTCACGGGTGAGTCACTCATATCTCTGAGTGTCTATTTTCTTATCTGTAAGACGGACATCAGAGTTAGCTCCCAGAGTTGGTGGGATAAGCTGAAGAGGACTCAAGGCTTTATGAACCTTGAGTCATTGTGAGGCGCCAAACACAGGCAGGACCTTTGCTAACACACCGGGTCTCCATGTGTGGAAGCTCCCATCTTCACTGGCTGAAGTCCTGCCCATGAGGCAGTGGCTACTGGTGGGGGTGGGGGTGGGGGTGAGGGGAGAATATAATGAGGCTTTGCTGCAGGGCATCCCCAAAAAAGACAATCAGAAATGTCTAAGAAAAAAACCTTTTCTCTAAGAAAAACTTTATTTCAAACCTTTGGCTACACACCAAGAAGCTAGGAAAAAAAGAATTGCCCCCAATTTCACAGAAAACAAGTGAGCATGGAATATGCCTCCTCAGGAACCTTGTAACAAAGACCTTTAATCCTGGCTAAAGATTAACAATGATAATTAAGGAATTAAACTGGAAACCTGTGGGTTTAAACCACTGTGGTTTCGGAGCTAAGGGGTCCGGTTGCCCTGGTGCATTTAGTTAGGGCCAGGCAGGTGTGACACACGCTGTTAAAGTCACCGTGTGGGGGACATGACTGAATGCCCCTCAGGTGCCAGACACTGGGTTTGCCATGCATTATTAGATTGTTCAATCCTCATTTCAGCATTTCCAGGAAATTTCCCATTTTGTACAGTTACGCAGAGAAATCAAGGCCACGTCCCAGATGACACAGGCCGGAAGCGGCGGTTCTGTCTGACTTTATGCCACACTCCTGACCCTTAGGGGCCAGAGGTGATGTGTCTGTAGGGCAGTCACGCTAACTCAAGAAGCCTGAACAGCGAATTCACTTATTTGTCTGGCTCTGAGCTACATGCAGCATTCCTTCCTTATGGGAGCAGCCACACAGGAGATCAAATTATAGTCCAGAAAGCTGAACCCTGTGTAAAGTATTAGGATCTTTCAAAGGGCATTTGCACTCAGCATGGCTTTCTGGTGCATACGCGCCTCTGTTCCAGGGCTAGGTCTGTATGGGAACCGGAGTCCTGTCCTGAATCAGGAAGATGCGGAGAATTACTGCCTTCACCCGTCTCCCACCCCCCTACCCCCAAACTTGCAGATCCCACACCCAGGTGACAATCCGATTCTTAACTCATGTCCGGTCCTCAGGACCAACTTTGGGTTTGGGCTTCTTAATCAATGTCTTAGGATGGATGAAGTTCTTCCATTAAAAAAAAAACACAAAAAACTTCTATTGGTTTCTACTTGACATGATGGCATCGGCCTGTAAAAATGATGAAATACTAACAATCTGTCATTTTACCCACTTTAAAGAATCAACTCACAGACTATATGTACTCTCTATGAAAATATTTTACAAATTAATAGTAGTTAACTAAAACCTTAGTAACTGACTTTTGTATCATTAAGTGTAGATTTGTTATATATTCTAACTTAATTTTTTATTTTCTAGATTAACTTTCAGTCTTTTTTTTTTTTTTTTTACTTACTGCTACTGATTTCTTACCTTTAACCCCAAGTAAAAGGTTCCACCCATGATTATACTCCAACTAAGCGCATCAGTCAGTGTTTGCACAATAGGATGTAGATGGCATATTTTATTCTAAGGCATCACGGAGCAAAGGTGGGTGGCGGATCTGCGCTGAAGGTCACTGGTGCACTGGCTGTCCTCTCCACTTCCTTCGCAGGAAGTG